ATGAACTCTATAGAAGTGAAAGACTACAAGGTCACATTTCCCTAAACAAACAGTGTAGAATGCCTGTCTACATAACAGCTGCTAACATATACAGCTTTACAAAGGGGAGAAAACTGAAACAGGGCAAAATGTTATCACAAAGGGTCGGTTCGTCACAATGCGACTTTCGTAGACATAGCGCCAGAGACATTGGCAAGAAGAAGTTATTTGAAACCATTATTAGATTTAATGCACAAAAAGAATGTTCGATACAGCTGCGGATTTCCAGCATGCCTGATCAGGTAGAAAGACGGAAGATCGGTGAGATTGAGATTCCCAGAGGACTTAAATGGTTTTTTTAAAGACTTGATTTACAGAAAAAATGATATTCCAGGATGGTCTGAAAGGGGTTAAAGATAGTTTAGATCTAGGAAGAGATAAGTGGCTATTAGTCCCCAAATAGAGAGTGAGACAAAAGGTTATGACTATTGGGGTGGCTTATCTTCATCCCCTTTTTTTTTTTTTCTTGTTCTTTCCTTTTTCCCTTCGGTAGACTCAACTGGTGGTAGGCGGGGGAGGGTCAAAGGGGTGAGAGGAGAAAGAGGTAAAATATAAATTTTTGTTTGTTTCTTTCTCTCTCTCTCTCTTTCCCTCTCCTATCCTCACCCTCCTTTTCTTTTTCTTCTTATAAATCAGGGCATCAGGAAGCTCAATATGTCACATATGTCTGTGACTGAAGGGTTGGGAATTGTGTTCTAGATAGGTGTACGTGTCTTGAAACTTACCCCCTAGAGAGGAGTCGATTGTATGATTACACCCCACTTCAGCCTCCAAGGCTTGGATATGGGCCTAAGGGTTTTAAAAATAGGTATAGGGAGGGGAGAAAGTGGGCAGGGGGATTTGGAGGGAGGGGGGATGGGCGATAAAGGTCACCCTGAAAATATATTGTCCCAAATTTCATATGCCTGCAATGATTACAGGTAATTTTATGACATATATAATGTAAACGGTCTGAATACTCCGAGTAGAATGCATAAGATTCTCGGGGAAATCCATCAACGTTCCATCGATGTAGTGTTTTCTGCAAGAGACACACTTATCACAGGATACAAATGTTAAACGATTTTCTAAACACTACCCAATGTGGTACTATGCAGATTCACCAATTAAACATGTAAAAGGGGTAGCAATTGGTTTAGCAAAAAACTTAAGATTTATTGTGGAAGATAGATTAGCTGATCCTGAAGGTCGTTTTTTATTTTTGAAAGGGAAATTACAAGGAATACAATGTACATTAGCAAATATTTATTGCCCTAATGAGAACTCTGTGACATACCTGAAGGAATTGTTAAGAAAACTCTTAGACTTTAAGAATGGTTTTTTGATTGTAGCAGGAGATTTCAATTTTTGTATGGACCCTCAGATGGATACCTCATCGCGAGCAGGGGCGGACTGACCATTTGGAAACTCGGGCACTGCCCGAGGGCCCAGGGTCAGTAGGGGGCCCCATGAGAAGCCCCTGGTACCTTTTTCATAGGCTTTTTTTTGAGTTTGGGCAAGGACACTGGCCCCATGATCCCCTATTGCCCGGGGGCCCCATGAGTTGTCAGTCCGCCCCTGATAGCGAGCACAGAGAGACGAAGATAAAAACCTGAAGTCGATTAAAAAAAATGTTACATCAGTGCCAACTGATGGACTCATGAAGAATTAAACATCCAAGAAGATAGAGAATATACCTTCTTCTCCCCGTTGCATGGGATGTATTCAAGAATGAATTACATAATGATAGAACATAGACTCCTAGAGTCTTTGGTAAATTCCAAAATTGAAGTGATGTCATTATCAGATCACGCACCTGTCACAATGAGATTAAGGTTGGAAGGGGATTGAAATAAAGGTAGTACGTGGAGAGTAAATGAGATGCTTATACAGGATGTGGAGATGGAGAAAAGAATAAAGAAGGAATTAGATCAATACTTTACATTTAATGAGACAGATGAGGTTTCAGTCGCTACAATCTGGGAAGCGCATAATACATATATTAGGGGATTCTTGAGTAGCAGTAGGGGCCAAAAAAAAAGAAAGAATGGGGAAAGAAAATAAGATTATTAACTGAGGAATTATGACTTAGAACAACTACATAAAGTGAAAATAGAATGAGATCTACAACAGAAGATAACCCAAAAAAGAGAAGAATTAAAAGAACTAATGTAACCGGAAACTAGAAGAATTTTTAACAAGGTAGCAAAAGAGAGATATCAGTGGGGAATAAACCAGGAAAATACTTGAGAAAGTTGAGGGAAAGGAAATCGAGAAACTTTATATAGAAATTTTAAAGATGAGAAGGGAGAAATGGTATATTCAACCACTGGTATCATTAAAATGTTTCATAAATATAGTAATTTGTATGAAATAAAATCTAAGAACCCGAAAGAATCAGAGGGAGAAAGGAGAGAAAAAAGACAGGTGTACTTTAGAGGCCAGATTACCTAGACTAGAGGAAGGGAGATTAGCCGTTTTAGATAAACCCATATCGCAGGAGGAAATCCATACAGCATTAAAGAGTACAGTGGCAGGAAGGAGCCCTGGACCAGATGATACACACTGAGATATTATAAGAAATTTAAAGATCAACTTGTGCGTAAGATGTGTATGTACATGAACAAACTAGGAGAGGCAGTAGAAATGAGAGAGGAGTCATTGCAGGCATATATTACAGTTCTACCGAAAGAGGGGAAAGATCTGTCCCATTGTGCCAGTTATAGACCCATTTCGTTATTAAATATAGATACAAAATGATATGCAAAGGTCCCGCAAATAGGATGAAAGAGTTGATGTCGGAATGGATTAATTTAGATCAAGTGGGTTTTATCCCAGGAAGAGAGGGAAGGGATAATGGAATAAGATCATTACTACTTCTGCAAAAAAGTAAGAATGAAAATTCCCCGGCGATAGTTCTATCGATCAATGCAGAAAAAAGCCTTTGATTGGGGATTTATGATTGATACATAAATGAAATCTGACCTAAAATGATACAATGGATTAAAACGTTCTATAGTTCTCCATCAGCAGTGATTAACTTTAATGGCTCGTTGTCACAGCCCTTTAAAATGTACAATGGAACTAGACAGACACTTTCTAGACTTACTAGACACTTTCTCCTTTACTTTTTGTTATATCACTTGAACCGCTACTAGCGACTGTGCGAAGGAATATAGATGTAAAGGAATTATTGATAGGAGACAGGGAACATAAGGTAGTGGCATATGCAGACGATATGTTTTTATATAGCAAACCACAGAGTAACACTACCCAACCTAATGAAATGGATTAATTTTCAAGTTTGATAATTCTCCATAGTGTTTTAGAGATATTACATATCAGTGTTCCAAAGATAGATAAACTGATATTACAGAAATCTTTTCTCTTTGTATGGAGGGAAAAGGAATTGAGTTACTAGGTGTTAACTCCTTCTTTAAAGAACATATATCAGACAAATTACATTGCATTAATAAATGAGTTGAAGGATGACTTGAGGAAAATATCAACTGGATCACTCTCTTGGACTGGCCGTATAAATTTGTTAAAAAAGGCGATGGTCCCAAAGGTTCTGTATAAATTTCATATGCTCCCCAATATATTTACTGAGGTCATTCTTTAAGACAATAAAAAAGGATGATACTTAAATATATATGGGCAAATAAAAGACCAAGAGTGAACTACAAGGTATTGTGTAAAGATAGAATGAATGGGGGCCTAAACACTCCGGATTTTAGGAGATGATATTGTGCAGTGTTGTTTTCACGAATAGCAGATTGGATTTATAACTGCTCTTACAAAGGCCTGTGTGCTGGTGTCTGCTCTCCCTAATTTGAGATAACAGGATCTTTTTGAAGTGTATTAAAAGTTAAAGCTATGAATTCCATAGTTTGCAGGAGGAGGGAGGGGGTAAGATCACTGGGCTCAGGAAAAATTTAAAATTTACAAATGTTTATTATTAACTCAATACAGGTTGTGCTTATATTTAGTAAGAACTTAGCAAGGATTTTGTAAAAATTTGTATTTTTTTTTTTTTTTGTTTGTTGTATCTGCTAATAATGATGTTAGTGTATTGTTAGCGAAAATATTGTTTTGATAAACATTTGCGCAAATATCGTGGGGCCTTATATTGTATAATTTGGGGGGTCTTTTACAAATTTTGAAAGCTGTAAGGGAAAGAAAAAAAAAACAATGGAAAAATTGTCTGGCCACCTAGGTTTAAAAGTGCAGCAAAAGAGTTAAAGCATCACCTATGCAAAATATACAGATGCACTCCTCTTAGAATTGCATGAAAACTGTGTGCAGCATTATCTGACACAGATCTGCAGAAAAGTATCCATGTATATAAGCCTGCAGCATAAAATATAATTCTGTGGTTGAAATATTTTGAATCCTATAACATGCTTAAATCTGAAGATTTATTTGTTGTGGAGAATTTTTTCTGAGTTTGAATTGATCAGTTTTAAGTACTCCCCAAAGTACACATTCCTTAGCTTCTTGATCATTGGCATATTGGTGTGGGTCATAGGTGGTTCTAGAAAAACTTACTTTTTTTTTTTTTTTTACAGGTACCAAACTTCAGCAGAGCATGGCGCAGTGTTATTCTAGCACCATTCGCTTGTGGTTTGTAATTTAAAGAATATTTTGAAGTTATCAATTTGTTTTAAGCTTTGTTGGTACAAGACTTTTATTTATTTATTTTTTAGCCTCCTGCCCTCCAAGCCCCTCACAGCTTGCTGAATGCTATCAGTCTTTCCTAGTGCTCTTAAAGTGAGTTTAAAGATCCATGTATAGAAAATGTTCTTTGTTTATATATAGCTGCAGATTATTACTTCTGTACAAAGGAGAAATACAAAGTTGAGTACAGACATATGTTTTTTATATAAAATATTCTTATCCTTGCTTTCTGTTTGTTAAGGTGCCCTGTACTAGCTGATCTGGACCTTTTAGGAATTGCTAGGCAGTATGCACAAACTGATTTACCAGCTTTTACCTTGGGATGTCTCTTGTTAATTCCACATATTGAAAAAAAAGAGCAGCAAATTCAGGTAAGAACACATTTAATGGAAATTTTAAGGACTTAAAGTAAAAATAATATTGCAAGCAACACTTCTCAAAGCCTATAGTAAATTACAAAATGCAGACCTTAGACCCATCACATGAATGTATTCTGGAAATGTCATATTTGATGATTAGCTAGTCCTAAGTGTGTTTTGCATTCATGTTTTTTTTTTTTTTGCCTTTTTGTCAGGCTTTTCTTAACGCTTGCAATCCAGAAACTGTTTTGCTTCAAGTAGCAGACTGCATGAACACTGGAGAAGTAGCAGGCATTGCATCACAGGTTGGTCATATAAGACATTATCTTGTAATTTTCTTTATTTTACTTTTGCTATTAATTTTGCTTTATCAATAAAACATTTTACAATCTGAACTGATTACAGTATATAAATAAGTCCTAATTTTCACGGGGGTACACCTATGCGAGGGCCAGGTTTGAAAAAACACATGATACAAATGTTAATACAAATGTAAATTGAGCTGCAGTTCAGTGAGTAAAATAAGTATTTGGTCCCCAAACAAAACATGACTTAGTACTTTGTGCAGAAACCCTTGTTGGCAAGCACAGAGGTAAGACGTTTCTTGTAGTTGGTTAGCAGGTTTGCACACATCTCTGGATTTTTGGTTGATATTCTGTCTCCATCAAAAAGTTAAAATACGCCTATGATAAAAATGATAGACCTTTCATTTCTTTGTAAGTGAAATTTGAAAATGGAATTTAAAAAATGAAATTAAAAATTGGAAAGATTTGAAAAGTGAATGAAAAACAATAAGTGAAAGGAAAAAATGCAAAAAAAAGAAAAAAAATAATTAAACAGAAGATGAAAAAAAGAAAAATACTATTTAGGTCATTTATAAACAAAAAAAAATGAGACTCATCACCTTCCAAAACAAGAAAGATGTAATCTATGTATCTTAGCCAGCATTTGACATTGTCAGAGAAAAGAACTGTAGGAAAAATATTGTGTTCTTCCATAAACCCAACAAACATAGTTGCGAATGAGGGGACAGCAGAGGTGCTCAAGGCTGTCCCATGAATTTGGGCATATATGGTCCCCTCAAATGCAAAAATTACTTTTAAAAACACACTGAACATTTGATTAAGAACTCACATGGGAGATTCTGGGCTATCAACCTAGATAAAAAATATTTCACTGCTGCCAGACTGGCTTCATTTGGTATGCTTGTAAATAAGGACGAAATGTCCATAGTTGCCAGTTTCCATTTTGCATCAATCACTGAGATTCTCCTAAACGTGTCCAATCTGTAAAACTACAATTTATTATTTAGTGTTACTAAAAGTAAATTTTTTTTTTTTTTCAATTAAAATGACAAACCTTTATACTCACCTGCTATGTGCAATGGTATTGCACAGAGCGGCCCCGATCCTCCTCTTCTTGGGTCCCCCATCAGCGATCTTGGATCCTCCTTCTCTTCGTGTGTCCCCATAGCAAGCCGTTTACTATGGGGGCACACAGTGCATGCTTACTCCCAAGTTGTGTGTCTGAGGCGTCTCTCCATAGACACAAACAGTGAGGCTTAGCCCTGCCCCCACTTCCTCCTCATTTGACTGCATTTTATTTACAGCAGCAGAAACCAATGGCTCCTGCTGCTGCTTAATTTCCTGTGTGAAGAGGAAGAAAGGCGAGAAGCTGCCATTCATAGCACTGGATGTCTTCTCCCCCTTCACACGTCACACAGGGAAGGGAGAGGAAAGAAAACTAAAAAACGCTTCTTACCTTAATGCAAGGAATGCAATAAGGTAAAAAACATTTTAGCTTTTGAATCATTGTAAGGATTATATCTTCCTCTGGGAGTATTAGCTGTTTATGCATGAACTAAACATTTTTTCTTTGGAATCTTATTTACAAATGTTTTGATGGTTTCCTGTGTTGCAGATACAGGGTTTAATTTTTGACAGTGTGATTAAGAAGAAGCAGCTTGAAAAGTTTTTGAAAACAAAATGCTACAATATGCTAAAAACTGAGGCAATTAATGCTAACCGAGTAAAAGACCTGGCAGATTATCTGCTGAACAGGAACTGGTAAGTTGCTAAATTACTGTAACATAATATGCTGCCAGAATGATAAGTTCTCTCCTTTATTAACATAAATATACATGCTACTTGTAGAAGTAATTTTTTCAACGGACTTTTAAAGCTGAATTCCAGACAATGGGCTAAATACAGAGTTTGAATACAAGTATGTGAACAGCTCTACTTCCCAAAATGAGGTCAAGGCACCCCCGTCAGCATATTAAGGGCACTGGCCTCCAGGGAAATTGAATAGTACAGCTTGGCTAGTGACTGACACTTTGTATATTTGCACATTGCAATTTCACAGAAGCCATGTATACCTCTGATGAAGCCATAAATAGTGGCAAAATATGTAGTATTTTAATTGGAGGGCACTTTATATTTTTTATTGATGTGAACTGTGTAATAATACTGTAAAGTCTTAAATATGCAAAGAAGAGGGATTGAGATCGCTAGCATGGGTAAAATGAGAGTAAAGAGGAATGCTTAAAAGGAATAGAAGAAGAGAAAGTAAGAAATCGTATTAAGGGTACAAGAAAAAATTTATTGAGGGGAGAACTGCTAATGTAATACTACATTGCACTGGTTCCCGTTACAGTGCAGATAAAAAAAATACATAGAGACCAAAAACGTATATATAAAAAATGTATTCAATTTTGAAGGCTGAAATAAAAGTTAAATTATATTGGTGTAAGGTGCTGAATATATCTGTTGAAGATAAATGGTTTTAGAGACTAAAACCCTAGCCTGCTGGAACAGTGAACGAGCAACAGCAAACTTGATTCTTTGTATTCTCCTTTCTTGCAAGCATGGCAACCTTACTGATAGCACAGCAAAACAGAGCCCTGACTGGGTTATAGTGCTGACTCTTCCTTTCAGTCTGAGTGTTGCTGTGTAGGGGCTTAACATGAAGCTAAAATAAGGAGAAACACCCAGTACTTCCACTGTCACCTGACAATGCATGGTTTAGTGCCTGAGCATCCAATCATCATGCAGACAGGCAATTACTGAAGTCCAGGAAGATCAATGAGAGCACTCGCCAACGCTCTTGCAGTTCATTGAGAACTACTGTACAAGCCATCTGCCGCAATGGTAGATGGTACTTGTCCATTCACAGAACTCTGTGAATGAATGGACATGGCTGTGTGGGTGGAGCTACAAGTTCTGTATCCTCTATCTACACCCTTTTGGAGTTCTTACACCTGGATAATCAACCAGCACATGGGATCGAATGAAGAATAAAATGCCTACCAAATTCTGGAATAGGTCAGTTTTTTTTTTTTGTTTTTTTTTTTTACTTCTTCCTGCCTTAAAGGAGTGTAGTGATTTCAGATTGAGGAATATAATTCTCCTCTAGACTCCTCTCAACCTCCATGCTACTAACATCAACCAGACAACGTTTGGATGAACTTGGACTAAAATCAAATGCCTCAGCAGCAGTAAGAGAACCTTGAGAATCAACAAAGTTGTGGGGAAAATGTACACTAATGGGAATTTCCAGGGAATCGAGAAGGCATCTATTGCCATTGCCTGAGGGTCACAAATGAAGAGGGAGACAGGCATTCAGGTGTTATGGCTTCCCAGACATGGATGAATGAGGGAAGTACGGGTGCTGCAGAATTTGTGGGCTGCCATTCAGGATTTGCAAGCTCCTCCGGAAGGACACTATGGGCTCTACGGGCCAGTGTTCGAAAAAAATCCCTTCCTGATCCCCCCCGAGAGGCAATCGGATAATCCCTGGATCAACCTTACCTATAAATGTTAGTATCTGGTTATATTCTGTGTATCCGAGAGAGAATCCAGGTCTTTTTTTAAAGCAATCCACTGAGCTGGACAGAACAAACTCTTGAGGGAGTCTATTCCACATTTTCACAGCTCTTACTGTGAAGAAACCTTTCTGTGTTTGGAGATTAAATTTATTTTCCTTCAAACGTAAAGAGTGCCCCCTTGTCCTCTGTGATGACCTCAGGGTGAATAACTCTACACCGAGTTCACTATATGAACCACTGATGTATTTATATACAGTTGTGTTCAAAATAATAGCAGTTAGACATCACTAACCTGATCAATCACTGGTTTTGGTAGAATTTATATTTCTACATGGCAAATAATTTACTAGCAGATGTAGTAGAGTAATAGAAATCCAACAGACCCAACAGTCATGACATGCATGCTGCTGATTCTGTGTAATTGAATCACTAATTGAAAGGGGCATGTTCAAAATAATAGCAGTGTGCAGTTCTATTAGTGAGGTCATTCATTCTTTGAAAAACAGGTGGCAATTATTGCCCTTATTTAAGGAAGGCAGGCAGCAAATGTTGTACATGCTGGTTACAGTGCATTTCTCTCTGAAATTCTGAGGAAAATGGGTCGTTCCAGACATTAATCAGAAGAACAGCGTACCTTGATTAAAAAGTTGATTGGAGAGGGGAAAACATATAAAGAAGTGCAGAAAATGATAGGCTGCTCAGCTAAAATGATCGCAAATGCTTTAAAATGGCAACCAAAACCTGAAAGACGTGGAAGAAAGCGAAAAACTACCATTCGAATGGATAGAAGAATAGCCAAAATGGCAAGGACTCAGCCAACAATCAGGTTACAATTTGCCAAAGAGCACATTGACTGGCCTAAAGAGAAACGGCGCAACACTTTGTGGACTGATGAAAGTAAGATTGTTCTTTTTGGGTCTAGTGGCCGGAGACAGTTTGTCAGGCGACCCCCCAAACACTGAATTCAAGCCACAGTACACTGTGAAGACAGTAAAGCATGGTTGCGCAAGCAACATGATATGGGGATGTTTCTCATACTACGGTGTTGGGCCTATTTATCGCATGCCAGGGATCATGGATCGGTTTGAATACATCAGAATACTTGAAGAGGTCATGCTGCTTTATGCTGAAGAGGAAATGCCCTTGAAATGGGTGTTCCAACAAGACAACGACCCCAAACACACCAGTAAACGTGCAACATCTTGGTTCCAGACCAACAAGATTGACGTTATGGAGTGGCCAGCCCAATCCCCTGATCTTAATCCAATAGAAAACTTGTGGGGTAACATCAAAAATGCAGTTTCTGAGGCAAAACCAAGAAATAGAGAAGAACTGTGGAATGTAGTCCAATCATCCTGGGCTGGAATACCTGTTCACAGGTGCCAGAAGTTGGTTGACTCCATGCAACACAGATGTACAGCAGTTCTCAGAAACAGTGGTTATACAACTAAATATTAAGTGATTCAAAGGAAAGCAAAATCTTCAAACATTTTTCAGTTTATATAGTGAATGTTTGAGTTTGTAAAGAATACAAACACTGCTATTTTTTTGCACAGTCTAATATTCACTTTTCTTCAATTTCTTTTAGAGGAACAACACAAATTTGATATATTTTTCTTCATGTTTTGATTTGGAATAGAATGTGTTGTGGTGGTGGTTTATGTAAGAATTTATTCTAAATATGTAGGGCGGTGTCCTTTCCCTTAAACAAAATATTGCAGTGCCTCCAGCCGTTAAAATACGGCAAATATTTAATAAACCAATAATTTGGACACCTTAATAATTTGATCACCACTTAATAATATACCTTGAGTTCTTTTAGCCAGTATGATTTCGTGCCATATACACAAAAATTGCCTTTTTAATAAATACATTTATTTATGTACAAAATTTATATATATATTAACACAAACGCAAAATACTGGTGATAACTGTATCCTTGTACGTATAATCAAAAATACAACAGGCTAATTTCTATGATCAAACAATAGATATAGATAATAGAAAGGAGATTAAAAATCAAATTTAGTTATAAATTGTAACCTTCTAGTGCTTCAGAGATTATTTCTCACATTCCGTGGCCATAGAAATGTAAGAAAGTATTCTCTGATAAATTGCACTACAACAAAACTACCAATCCATTAAATGCAATATCTAATAATTTCAGTATTAAATCAAACAATTTTTAGTAATAATTATGTATAGATCTTAATATTTCTAAACATACTACAAACGCTATAAGTCTATGAAAAATTTGAAATATCAAATAAACTACAGTTTCTCAGCACTCTCACCACTCCCAGAATCTTGAGTTTGAGGCTTCCCCCAGTGGGATGTAGTTGGGCCTTCAAATGGTCCTCAAGACAAAATGGCAGCTGGACTCCTTCAGCAAAATGGCCGCAGATAGCAAGTGAGAGTGCAGTCTGGATTGTAGTGTTTAGAAGAAATGTAGTATAGGAGTTCAGAGGTTCAGAAGTTTAGCAGAAGTTTTAAAAGATTTAGAAGTAGTTTTAGAAGATCTTTAAGTTTTTCAGATGGTACAGATTTCAGCTTCTTCAGATTTCTTCAGCTTTTCAGATCTCCTTCCTTTTTGTTGGTTGGGTTTTTCTGTTGTGTTTTTCAGCTTTTTTTTTTTTTTTTTTTTTTTTTTTTTTTTAGAAGTGAGGTGCATGGCTTTTTATACCATCCAAACCTTTTTTTTTTTTTTTTAAAAGACCCTCCCAACAGGCTTGTTGATTGGCCGGTCGGGAAGTGTGTGTACATAAGATATGTCTCACCTGTCCACTGGGGGGCAGTCAGTGATCACAAAACAATTTGTGTATTAATGATGACTCATGTTTTGATTGAAACCAAGATATCTTTAGGTATTAGATATATATATGTCTTATCCAAGTATAGTTGATTTCACCGCTAATTCTTGGATAAGGACCATAGAAAGATATATGTACATTCAGTTTTTCATTTCCCTGAGATTCAAACTGTTTGAAACATTTGCTTTCTGATGGAAATGTACAATTGACACCAATTCACAAATCATCTTATTCTTCATCATTTCACACTTAACTGAGTGGTATGCAATCCCTAACTCTGTTGAGTATATTTTGGTGTGTGGAAACATACCCTTTATAAGATCCCATTGATATCCCCCACATTTTTTTGGTATTCTTAATTGACCCAGATTTCACCTTGGCTGGATGTATAGTTCATGGGAATGTGATGGAGAAACGTATCCATTGTTGAGTACTTAAAGTACATAGACTGGCCTATAGTTAAACCTTAATTCAATAGCCTATTGTGACAGTTCATGAAGTTTGTTTGTTCATCACACTTCCCAAGGTTTTGGGTGAGCTCTCAGACCTTCAAGTTTCGTCTCATCATTGTTGTTTTGGTTAGGTGTGATGACTCACCTGTGGAAGTCCAAATTTCCTGCCATTAAAGTATCTCCTAGCTTCCCATAGACCATGGCATTTGTTTTAGGAAACATATAGCTGCCAGGTCTTTGACTAGTCAACATCAGATGCCCCATTGTTTTTCTCTGGGACTTTGTTTGATCACCTGTAGGAATTTCAATAGTGGTGTGTCTCATTGTCTTTCAAACAAGTTTCTTCCACTCACTGGTTTTTGTAATCTACTAGAAGGTCACTTGAATTTCAACCAAGACTGTTAACCCCTGACAGACAGCTGGGTTTCTCAATTTTGGAATAAAATCATTTTTTTAATAAATAGTCCCCCAAAAGTCACTACAGTGTAGCATTCCCAATGCATTTGTGTGTATGGAAATAAAAGCTATTACAAGGATTTTGAGCTTTATTCACTTTTTTCAACACAGTGCTATTATTTTGAACACAACTGTATGTTGATCTTTTCCCCCCTTAATCTCCTCTTTTCAAGAGAGAATAAATTCAGTTCCTCTAATCTTTCCTCATAGCGGAGCTCCTCCGTGCCTCTTATTACTTTGGTTGACCTCCTCTGTACTTTCTCCAGTTACCCAACGTTCTTTTTATGAATTGGTGCCCAAAATTGAACTGCATATTTCAGGTGATGTGTTATTAATGATTTGTTCAGGGGTAAAATGATATCTCTCTCTCTGGAGTCTATACCATTTTTAATACAAGAGAGGATATTGCTCGCTTTAGAAACCGCAGCTTGGCATTGCATGCCATTATTAAGCTTGTAATCTACCAGAACTCCCAGATCCTTCTCCACCATTGATTCCCCCATTTTTTCCCCCCCCAGTATGTATGATGCATGCATATTCTTAACACCCTAGTGCATAACCTTACATTTATCAACATTAAAGTTCATTTGCCACATAGTTGCCCAATTAAACAGTGCATTGAGGTCGGCTTGTAAGTTGGAGACATCCTGTAAGGACGTTATTCCACTGCACAGCTTGGTGTCATCTGCAAAGACTGAAATGGGATTTTTAATCCTAGATACTATATCGCTTATAAATATATTAAAAAGTAAGGGTCCCAACACTGAACTCTGGGGTACAACACTGACAACCGTAGACCATTCAGAGTATGGATCATTAAACACTACTCTCTGTATACGATATATTAGCCAGTTTTCTATCTATTTACATACAGGTTTTTCCAAGCCTGTAGACTTAACCTTACACATTAGCCGTGTATGGGGAACTGTGGCAAAGCTTTTGTAAAATCCAAGTATACCACATCCACTGCCACCCCTCTGTCCAAGGTTTTGCTCACCACCTCATAAGAAATCAGGTTTGTTTGACAATTGTCTTTCATGAATCCATGCTGTTTGTTGCTTAAAATATTTTTTTTTTCAGCAAGATCTCATCTATGTGGTCTATTCTTAAACTCTCCAGTATCTTCCAAACAAGTTAAACTAACAGGTCTATAATTACATGGTAAAGATTTTGACCCCTTTTTAAATACTGGCACCACATTGGCCTTACGCTAATCCAGTGGTACTATGCCAGTCATTAAAGAGTCCCTAAAAATTAGAAACAATGGCTTTGAAATGACAGAGCTCAATTCTTTAACTTGTTGCTGACCGCAGATAGCCGAATGACGGCTGCACTGCGGCCGGCCAGTTCTGAGTGGACGTCATATGACGTCCCCCCAGAACGCGCTCTCCTGCGCGCCCCAGGGGGCGCGCACCCGGTGATCGCTGTGTCCTACGGACACAGCTGATCACATGATGTGGTAAAAGGCCAATCACAGCGGCCTTTTACCACCTGATCAGCGGTGTCCAATGACACGCTGATCAGAGGGAAATGCAAGTGCCGGTTCTCGGCTGCACTTTCCTCACGCTGTCAGATCGTGAGGAAAGTACTGCCGAGAACCGGCAGTTGTCAGAGCGGGGATCGGCACCGATCATCAGGGCACTGATGATCAGTGCCCTGATGATCGGTGCCCAGCAGTGCCACCCGCAAGTTCCGCCCACCTGTGCCCAGCAGTGCGCCCACTAGCTCCGCCCACCTGTGCCCAGCAGATCACCCACCTGTGCCCAGCAGTGCACCCACCTGTGCCACTCTGCAATGTCACACACCTGTGCCCAGAAGTGCCACCCACCTGTGCCTGCCCACCAGTGCCACCCACCTGTGCCCACCCACCAGTGCCGCCCACCAGTGCAGCCAGTCAGTGCCACCAGTCAGTGCCCAGCGGTTGTGCCAGTCAGTGCCGCCAGTCAGTGCCCAGCAGTGATGCCAGTCAGTGCCGTCTATCAGTACCCATCATCAGCGTCACCTATCAGTGCCGCCTATCAGTGCTGCATATTAGTGCCGCCTATCCGTGACACCTCATTAGTACTGCCTATCAGTGCCCTTTAGTGCTGCCTATCAGTGCCCATCAGTGCCGCCTATCAGTGTCCATCAGTGCTGCCTCATCAACGCACATCAGTGAAGGAGAAAAATTACCTGTTTGAAAAATTTTATAATAGAAACAAAGAAACTTTTTTTTTTTTTTCAAATTTTTGGCAATTTTTTATTTATAGCGCAAAAAGTAAAGCTCCCAGTGGCGATTAAATACCACCAAAAGAAAGCTCTATTTGTGAGAAAAAAATGATCAAAATTTAATATGGGTACAATGTTGCATGACCACGCAATTGTCAATCAAAGTGCGGCAGCGCTGAAAGCTGAAAATTGGCCTGGTAAATAAGGGGGTATAAGTGCCTGGTAGGCAAGTGGTTAAGGACCCGTGGGTGTATGCCATCCGGTCCAGGTGCTTTATTCACCTTTTATTCTGTTTTAAATATTTTTGGATCATATCAATTGTGAGCTAATGTGGATCATCTGGAGCTGTGTCAATATCATGGACAAGAGCTCCCCCATGCTCCTTTGTATACACAGAGCTGAAGAAGGTATTTAATATATTTGCCTTCTCTTTGTCCCCAGTCACCCACTCTAGATTATTTTGTAAAGGGCCTACATACTCGGACCGGACTTTTTTACTATTAATATATTTGAAGAATTTTTGGGGGTTTGTCCTGCTATCTTTTGCAATCTGTCGTTCATTTTCAATTTTTGTGGCCTTTATTTCTTTTTTGCATATTCTGTTATATTCTTTGTAATGTAAAAACGATGATAGCGTGCCTTCATTTGTATATTTAATAAAAGCTATTTTCTTATCTATAGCTTTTTTAACTTTGGTCGTAAGCCACATAGGTTTGATTTTTAGCCTTTTAAACTTGTTGATCATGGGAATATATTTTGCAGTGTGTTCACATACAGGCTTTTTGAAGAACTACCATTTCTGTGTTGTGTTCATTGATGCCAATATTCCCACCCAGTCTAAATTTTGGAGAGCAGCTCTCAGCCTTAGAAAATTAGCTCTCTTAAAATTGAGCGTTTTTATTTTTCCCGTATGTGCTTGATGTTTACAGCTAACAATAAATGAAATCATGTTATGGTCACTGCTACCCAGTTGTTCTTTTATATGGACATTCATAATAAGCTCTGCATGGTTTGAGATTACCAGGTCCAGCAAAGCATCATTCCTAGTTGTCTGTATCCCCTGTCCTCTTTATTTTCACCCAGGCCTGGGATAAATAAAGCTCCAGACACCGAAGTGTGAAAGCTAAATCTCTGAACATTTAATGCAAAACAAGAACTGTTATGCAGAACTCAGTGGGTATTGCTTAGTCTTAGGATGACCAATGAAACATTCCAATCTTATCAATATAGTTACGTGAAGAACAGAAACCGCAAATAGCTGAGGGATACCATATAAGGTAGTTCCGGTTACAGTGAAATGGAAACTATTCTCAGGAAACGAGAGAAAAGTTACAAGCGAAACTAACTGTTCACACATTTAGAAATGGAGGTATTATACAAAATGGATGACAGTTAATAAGACATATTTCCTTACAAGGCCTCTATGAACTGTACCATAAAATTGTCCTGTAGTAGGTTTAAAAAATTTTGCCCTTTTAACTGTTCCTGCAATACCATTACTCCAGTCAATTTCCGGGTAGTTAAACTCTCCCATTGTTATCACTGTTAAAATCCCCCATTAGTATCACTGTCCCAGCCCTTGTAGCCCTTTCGATCTGTGCAAGGAGTTGAGTTTCCACCTCCTCATTAACACTGGGAGGCCTATAACAAACTCCAATGATTACCTTTGTAGTACGCACCCCCATGTGCAGTTCTACCCATAATGCCTTACCTTATCACATACTCCATCAACTAGGTCCTCTTTCACACTCACTCTATCAATTCTCACATAGAGACAGACACCACCACCTTTCCTATTTACCCTGTCTCTCCGAAAGAGAACATAGCCAGGAATATTAATGGCCCAATCATGTGAAGAATGAAGCCAAGATTCAGCAATACGAATTAAATCATAGTTTTCTTCATGCACCAAAGCTTCCAACTCACCTATTTTGCTTGGCAGACTTCTGGCATTGGTGAACAAACTCTTTAATTCATTGACTCCTTGTGCACACATATTTTGCATATTTTTTATGTTTATACAAATGGTACCAATACCACTGGTTGTTTGTAACATATGAGAATCATCATGCAATTGTACCACCTCCGCAACCTGGAAACGGGGTTGGATAAGCCTTACCTTAGCAGGGACCTCTATTCCATCATCTCAGCTATCTGTCAGGGTGCCGCTGCTGTCTACAGGTTCATATTCTGAAGCAGATTCTGTCAGTGAGGCTTCCCCTTCGCTCCCATCTAATATGGTCAGAATCCTGTAGGCCTCTTCACTGGAGTACCTTTCGTTAGACATTTTGGCCACTAAATGTATAGGTACCTGGTGCGACTCACGGTAAAAAGAGCACCTTGCTGTCAGGGACTGCTTGTGCTACTACAAAACAATTTACCTGCAAATGCTAGCAGAGATCAGGCCTGATTCTGCTAACACTGCGGTTTTGTGTGCAATGTATCAAGTGACAGTGATCTACTAACACTGCACTTGCTAGGGGGTATGGGGGGGGGGGTTACACGTAAGAGCTAAATGCAGGTGCTGATCCTGACAATGCTGTGTTTTTGGGGATACTTTTGTGAACTGGAACAAAAAGTCAAAGCATATGAGCTTAATTGTGGTGATCACTTTTTGTGGTGTTCCTGGGCCAGCCGGGGATCGCGTCTTGACAAAGCACATGCGTTGTCACGGTTACCAGCCAAGCTCGCATCTCACGCTCAGAACTCTGCTTCCGCTTCCGTCCTGGTTGCAGTGACTTCACTTCCGGAGTGCCGCAATCCCCGGCTGGCCCAGGAACATACTGAGGACAAGCGTCTCTTCCCGGTCCGGGGACGCAGGTGAGCGGACATTTCACTGCATGGTCCTGGGACATACTGTGCTGTATGGTGTGTAATACACAACCATTTTACTACTGGATCAATAAAAGCACACCTCCATGGAAGGTGAATATTGATTTTAATCACTAACTTCACAGCTCTGTTCCTCTTGGCTCATACTTTTGTAAACGCCGGTATAGTTCTGATCTGATCAGATATTGATCCGTTCAGACACTATAATAGCAATGGAGGTTTATTGTGTATGTGAAAATGTGCCTGGCAATCAAAGGGTTAAATGTGATGACTGATGTAGTGGCATGCAATCTGACGCTATCTGGGAGAGACGCAACGTTATCTGAAGTCGCCGGTGACACTAATACAGTAATCAGTAAAAACATCTGTACACTGCACTAATGACACTGGTGACAGGGCAGTGAAGGGGTTAACTGGGGGGGCAATCAGGGGGTTAAATGTGACCTAGTTGTGCTTTTATTGTAAAAGTGTGCTGTTTTTACTCACGTGGACCTGCTTCTTCTCTCTCTGGAACGGAATGTGCGCAGGGAGAGAAGATTACATTTACACAGGTACAGGAAATTATGCAAACACGGGTAGAGGAAGATCTGTGATATCGCAGGGATCAATCAGTAGATCCAGGCCAAACATCACTGGCTGGAATCTGCTGATTAGTCGGTCAGGCACGAATCATGGCACCGCCGGGTCAGCGGGCATGCACAAAGGCCCACGTCACCGCAAAAGCGAAAATCGCATATATATATATATATATATATATATATACAGTGTGTGTATATATATATATATGTGTGATTTTGCGCAGAGGTTCCACCCTGTAGCAGAAATCCTGCTATAGGGCGGAGTTAAGGTGGTTAAGCTGAGAGGTGTCTCTCTCACAGTAAATTCCCTCCTTAAAAGCCTGAGAAATGAGGAAGAAGAATCAAAAACATGGCCCTGTAAATCCTCAAAATTATCTGGCTCGGATTCCTGCTTGACAGAAGACTGAATTTCTGCAGGATGAGAAATCGCAACAGAAGTAGAAGCAGGAAAGGACACTGGGGCAGCAGACTTATTTTGACCCATTTATTTTTCATGTTTTCTACTACAGCTTCTTTAATGTATGTCCTCACATCCCGAGGCTGTTCTGTACTCTGAGGTAGCCTCCCTAAAGCCTTTTTCCTCTTCCCTTGCATTGCTGGGGCTGGGCACACCCAACACATTATTTCCCTTGCATTGATGGATATGATGTCTGTAAGAATCATCAAAATAGAGGTTGATGACTCTTAGTAGGGCATATAGAATATCATCAAAAAGTTAATTTATTTCACTAATTCAATTAAAAAAGTGAAGCTCATGTATTACATAGATTCATTACACTCACAGTGATATATTTCTTTTTTTTAATTTTGATGATTATAGCTAGTGCAAACCCAAAATTGAACAACTCAGAAACTTAGAAAAATACATAATACCAATAAAAAAAGGATTAACACAGAAACGTTGGCTTACTGAAAAGTATGTCCATGTACAGTATAGTATGCACTCAATACTTGGTCGGGGCTTTTTTTTGTATAAATTACTGCATCAATGTGGCGTGGCGTGGAGGCTATCAGCCTGTGGCACTGCTGAACTGTTATGGAATCCCAGTTTGCTTTGATAGCGGCCTTCAGCTCATCTGCATTGTTGGGTCTGGTGTGTCTCATTTTCCTCTTGAGAATACTCCACAGATTCTCTATGGGGTTTAGGTCAGGTGAGTTTGCTGGCCAGTCAAGCACAGTTATACCATGATCATTAAAGCAGGTATTGGTACCTTTGACAGTGTGGGCAGGTGCCAAGTCCTGCTCGAAAATGAAATCTGCATCTCCATAATGCGTGTCGGCAGAGGGAAGCATGAAGTGCTCTAGAACTTCCTGGTAGAGGGCTGCGCTGACTTGACTTGATAAAACAGTGGACCA